TCCTTATTGCTTTCATTCTGCTAACACTGACAAAATATAAAACATATAATACTAAATTATATATAACAGAAACAAGAACAGTAGGAGAAATCATCTATTTGCACAAGCAGAATATTAATAAGCTCAAAAATAACAGCTCAAAAATGCACAGGACAGTGGTCTCTGTGAGCGGAAATGTTTTTACTTGGAATGGGAATATTGTGAAGGAGGCCAGGTGCATTTCCCAGGAATCAAATTTCCATAAATGTGATTGCTGCCCCAGAGGCTGCCCAGCCACCCACACCTCTGATGGTAGTGGGATATAGAGCAGCACCTCCCACCCTGAAGATCTGAGCATATAAGAAAACATGTCCTTTACTGGGGAGCATGTGTTGGTGATATGGGAGTAACCGTTAGGCTTCCTGTGGCCCACAATGCATATAGAGCTGGCAGCTATACACATTCACACATGCATTCTATCCCTTTTTGCAGCAGACGGACCATGTGGTTGGGGTCATACTCATGGTCAAGTGCACATCAGTCCACCTGAAATGTTATGCATGTATGGACTGGTTGGGCATAAAGGAGTGAGTGGTAGGAGGAACCGGGTGGAGCCACCAAGGGAAGAAGGTTCAGAGCATGGGAAGTGGTGATGGGACAACGATGAGTGGTCAGAGGGAGAAGACTGGGAAGAGGAGGTAATGGAAGCTGAAGGGGTAACAGGGCTCAGAGAGTTGGGAGAGTGTGTGGCAGAGAGAAGTCAGGAATCAGAGGCAGAAGCTGAAGCAGGATGGTGGAAGGAGGGAGGTCAAGAGGCAGAGATGAACCAAGTTAGTGGAAAGTCATGGGTGTCTCCCCCTCCTGCTGCTACAAGCTGACTCCCAGAACCAGAAGAAGGGATGAAATGGGCAGAGCAGCAGGCGGCTTCATGCATGTGCAGTTTCTGATGGCTTGAAAGAAGCTCTGGAGAGGAGGAGACATAGACGGCAGTGGGGAGGTGGGGGCTTTAAGTCTCAGCAACTTATTTCATGGAATAGGACCTACAGGGCATGAGCTGCTGAATTTGTGCAGATCGTGTTTCTCTAATAAAGAGTTGACTCCACCTTTGAACTGTGTGATTCACTGACCTGCTTGCTCCATGACAGTGCAGTGGGAGGAGTCTGTGAGCCCATCCTTTGCCCCACTGCATGCAGAGTACATGTGGGCAGAGTGTGATCTGTCCCTTGGAACCAATTATTTTTGAAGATGTAGCACTTCTTAGTGCGACTTTTGCATTGTACAGGTAACAACCATTCCCACCAATTGTTGAATGAAGGATGGACTGTCAATTCTGTAGACTAAAGAGGCAATCTTATGCTCAAGAAACTGGTATAAAACAAGCAAGCCTGTGTAAGTTAAACTGGTGCTGTCAGGGACAGGGCTCCCCAGAGCGACAATGAGGGTGATGAGGGGGACAGGGAGTCAGAGGGGCAAGGAGTAGTTTGCTTCCTTCTCAGCTGTTTGAAGACAGTCGCCTGCAACCCCTCTTCTCCTCAGCCGGAGAAGAGGAGATAAATTCTAGGTAGGAGGCCAGCCAGAATCTCCCCATGCCCATAGGTTAACGAGGGTCAGGGGAAGGCGTCAATCAAGAAGCGGGAGGCGGGGTTCTGGCGTGCTTCCTGTTGGTGCTGGTCGGAGCCCGGATGCCTCAACGTCTTGAAAGAGACAGTAGCCCGTGGGAGCTGCTCTGAGTGCAATTACTGTGTTTAACAAATCTGCTTGTAAACTGACAGTGTCTACTTGCTGCTTATTAAGCCTGGGAGCCAGCTAGATCATGACTGGTGCAAACTCACACCAGATCCAAACTCTGTTCAGCAGTAGGGCTACTGCTTCTGCTGTACCTAAGTCTCGCAGTGGGAATCCAAGGCTTTATGATAGTGTTCTGTGCTGGGTTGCCAGCACAGAACACTGACCTAAATAGACTTAGGATCCTGACCAAGCCTCCAACTTCTGGCTCCACTTCTGCCATGTCCCCATAACACCCTTTTGGGGAGACTTACACCAATATTGGCTGAGCCTCAGCTGAGTTGGGATGAGCAAGTTTATGCCAGTGTAGCCTTGACATATTGATTTAAATTATATGCAGAATTCATCATGCAAAAGGCTGGACTGGATGAATCCCAAGCCGGAATTAAGATTGCCGGAAGAAATATCAACAACCTCAGATATGCAGATGACACAACATTGATGGCAGAAATTGAGGAGGAATTAAAGAACCTCTTAATGAGGGTGAAAGAGGAGAGTGCAAAATATGGTCTGAAGCTCAACATCAAAAAAACTAAGATCATGGCCACTGGTCCCATCACCTCCTGGCAAATAGGTGAAGAAATGGAGGCAATGAGAGATTTTACTTTCTTGGTGTTATAAGAATTTAAGGTCTCAAATATATAAATTAAATGTACAAGGCAAACACGTACATAAATATATAAACCACATGTCTGAAACAGTATAGGAAGACAGTCTCCCAAACTGACCAAATGTTTCTCTGCAAGGAGGGAGGAAATGTAAAAGCCTCCCCATTGTCTCTGTGCTCACAAATCCTGCCTTAAGGGCACATTTAAGGTGTGAATAGGGTGAGGAATTAAGGAATTAAGTATTTATCATTACAAAAGAATGGCCAGGCTGCCCTGGTGATCCAATCAGTGACCATTGACAAGTTTTCTACCAGATAGGATTTTGCTGGAGGCCACCTCTTTCTGTGATGTATGTATGATGTATTTGGGGGGTGGGGGTGGTCCTGGGCTACACCCCTTCTGTGATGTATAATGTTTCTGGGGGTGGTCCTGAGTTTGAGGGTGGGCAATTTCAAAAGTCTATATAAGGGCTGGCACACCTTTGTTCTGGGTCTTTCTCCTCTCTCCTGCGTGTGGGGGGAGCAGCCTGTTGCAACAGTTTTAATAAAGATCAGACTTACTAGCTGCTTTGCTTCTCAATATTCTATGGTTGGCCTCTGTTATTTTCTCCTACCAATAGGGAACCTATGTAAGGACTCTATACGGGCTCTTGGATACCCCTTAAGGGAAAAAGGGCAGATTTTGTTAACAAAATTGGGATCCATGATCACTGCAGATGGTGACACAAAATTAAAAGACGCCTGCTTCTTGGGAGAAAAGCAATGACAAACCTAGACAGCATCTTAAAAAGCAGAGACATCACCTTGCCAACAAAGGTCCGTATAGTTAAAGCTCTGGTTTTCCCAGTAGTGATGTATGGAAGTGAGAGCTGGACCATAAAGAAGGCTGATCGCCGAAGAATTGATGCTTTTGAATTCTGGTGCTGGAGGAGACTCTTGAGAGTCCCATGGACTGCAAGAAGATCAAACCTATCCATTCTGAAGGAAATCAGCCCTGAGTGCTCACTGGAAGGACAGATCCTGAAGCTGAGGCTCCAATACTTTGGCCACCTCATGAGAAGAGAAGACTCCCTGGAAAAGACCCTGATGTTGGGAAGGATTGAGGGCACAAGGAGAAGGGGACAACAGAGGACGAGATGGTGGGACAGTGTTCTCAAAGCTACCAGCATGAGTTTGACCAAACTGTGGGAGGCAGTGGAAGACAGAAGTGCCTGGCGTGCTCTGGTCCATGGGGTCACGAAGAGTCGGACATGACTAAACAACTAAACAACAACAACAATCCTTGGCTGAACCAGAGTGGGGAGCTTAATGCCAGCTGAGTCTGGCTGAGTCTGTAATCAGCTGGCTGAACTGGAGATCTGTTACATCCCAAAATGCTAATCCCAGCAAATCTTGCCAGAGGGTCGTCCTCTTAGCAACCAGCTTTATTAGGCTTTTCTGTGGCAACTCCCCACCTCCAGAACGATTTCCCCCTCCAAGGAGTGTCTTGCCTGCTGAGCTCATTCATTTCAATGTGATTTGCCATTGGTGGGTTGCACCTTGTGAGGTTTTCTGAGCAGACATTTTGAATCCCTTTTGACATAACGATTGTTTAAATTCCCCCAGAGAATTTATGATGAGCCTCATTTTCAGAGCATCACTGTTTTTCAGTGTTGATGCCATAGGAAAAGAATCTGAGTTTGCTCCAGAGTGCACTTTTATTAATTTACTGTGTCCAGTAAATCATATCACTTGAGTAATTACTTCATAGGCTCCTGAATCACTGTGAATAAGGTTCCACCCCCAGCTCCCCCTGCACAGCTGTCATTCAGTGGCAGAGCTTCATGCTCCGGCAGCAGGGGGGGGGCAGAGATCAGGCGGGGGTATGGCTGGTGTGCGTCCTGGGGGTGTGGCACACCACCTGTGGGGCACCCAGCGCGGGCAGGGGGGCAGCCGTGATGGTACCCCACTGGGATCGCGCTGCGGGCGTGGTGTGCTCCAACCGCCCTCCTCTTCCTCCGCCAGTGCTGTCATTGTCACCATAAAGGAAAGTGAATAGGTCTGGAGCTGATAGAATGCAGGCTGTCACAGAACAACACTTACCCATTGCCTTGTCAAGTTCTAAATCAACTGATTTATGAGCTTTGACTATCATCCCCAGAAATTGTGTGAGTTTTCAATAATAAAAACCTTAAGAGGAAATGAAAAGACTTCTTACAGGAATATTTCAGTTTACCTGAGATGAATACCATCTCTTTTGCTGCTGCTGCTCTTTATTTTTCTTTATTGTTAAAGACTGAGTTCATTTAATTGAATAGTCAACCTGCAGCACAGCGGAGGCAATGTTAGAGGCAACTGGGGCTTGAGATCCTCCTCAAGACGACTAGGAGGGTCTGTTTGGGCCTAGTTAGGATGGTGTAGAATCAGGAGTGTTCTTCTGCCTACTTTGGGAGCTCATTGTTACCTGCTCTCTGGCTAGTAGATGTGCTAGGGGCCAAGGTGGCTTTCCTCAGCAACAAGTTGCCCATCCTCAAAGAAGACAGCCAATCTGGGAGCAAGAACAGCACTAGAGCTGGAGCCTGGGGGCACAGCATCATCCTCACCCCAAGCATCTTCCTTTATCTTCTGCCGGGGTCTCCTTGGAAAGAGATGAATAGCTCAGTTGGTTAGAGCTTGGTGCAGATAATGCCAAGGTTGCAGGTTTAATCCTTGTATGGGACAACTGCATATTCCTGCATTGGAGAGGGTTGGACTAGATGATCCTCAGGATCCCTTCCAACTCTGCAATTCTGTGATTCTATGAAGGATTCAACTGTGAACCATCTAACTTGGCGAGATAAATCTGAACCCAAATAAGTCCAGCACTAGCAGTGAGGGGTCCTCCACAAACATACCCAAATTAATTTTGATATACCCTTTTTATTAGTTTATGTGCTAACCATGATTTGGTTGGTAGATCAGATTTAATTGTTGTGATGCATTCAGGGGCGAACAAAGGCACCGTGATACCTGGGGTGGGGTGTCGCTATGTAGGGCGCATGTGCAGCGTCGATATGTACGATGCATGCGCCGTACTTAGTGACGCTACACATGCGCTGTACATAGCGGTTTGCTGGCGGTGCTGCTCCAGTGCCATACGGATGGTGCCGGGGTCCTCTGCTTGCGCCTGCAGGCACGAACGGAGAATCCTCCACATGCAGCTGCAGCGGCGCGATGGCTGCTCACGCCATTGCGGTGGGGCGAGCCCCTGCGGGGTGCCTTCTTGTCACCCCCCAGGCATGGCACCCAGGGCGCAGCGCACCCCCCGCACCCCCGTTGCGGCGCCACTGGTTGCATTAATGTTATTATAGTCTTTAGGTCCTCCATAAACCTATTCCCAGTAGAAAAGCAGTCTCTAACTTTCCATATTTGTTGCTGTGTTCTACAGTTAGTTCTAAGTAACTAACTGCAGTGTAAACTAACTTTCTGTGTAAACAGAAAGTGTTTCTCTAAATGGTTCGAACGTTTCCTTGGGCTATTTGTATTAATGAGCTCCTGCTTATATTTCATTGCAGCCTGTACGAATAAAAGGCAATTCCCAAGCTACTTAGTTTCTTGCATGAATATGGATATCCTGAAGATTTCCATCCATTTTGGGGCTCATGGAAATGTAAGGGCAGTTGGAGCTTCACCTCTTACTAAAGGATTAATAGACCTGCTAATACATATTGCGGTTTCCTTCAATCATTTTATTATTTGCTCTCAACCTGTTCTTCTTAACCTTGCTCAGAAAGTGAGAGAATTCTCCAAAGAGCCCCAAAGAAAAGCTGGCTGCTCACCAGAATGCAGGATAGAGGACTCCTGAAGATGAAAACTTCAGGGGAGAAAATTGCCAAGAAACCAGGTTGCTGAGTTTAGGATCTGAATGCAAAATTAATTCTTCAATCATTGTAGAAAACTTTCTGCGTTTCTAACATCTTGTACAAATGAGGTTGCAACCCAGACCACTGTGCACCACTGGAGCCTTGGTAAGCAAGCTTAGGATGCTACATAGCTTACAAATGATAGCACAGTTATTATTTCATAGACCATGTACGCCCCCAAGTTTCACAGTTATGTCTTGCTTGCTTTCTTCATAATTTTAAAAACAAAGCTCAGCTTTGCCATGCACGCATTCTGAGGCCCAGGTGACACACAGGGCAAAAGGTCTCTTCTGCGATCATGGTTTAACATGAATTGCTAGTCATAGAATCATAGAGTTGGAAGAGACCACAAGGGCCATCGAGTCCAACCCCCTGCCAAGCAGGAAACACCATCAGAGCACTCCTTCACATTTAGAGAAGAAGGGGTACAATACAAATTAATAATACAATTTCTCCTCCCTCAGGGCATGAGTCAGCAGCTACTGGTTTATGCAAAGAAAATACATTTTAATGGATTGCCTTTACTTGAGTGCTCTCTAATGTTTTAGGGCCTGGTTGTTAGTAAAGGCAGCATACCCATGAGAGAGAGGCGAGGCCTGGACCTTGCTCCTTTTATCCTGATCAGGCCTGGGCAAACTCGGCCCTCCAGATGTTTTGGGACTATGACTCCCATCATCCCTGACCACTGGTCCTGTTCGCTAGGGATCATGAGAGTTGTAGTCCCAAAACATATGGAGGGCCAAGTTTGCCTAGGCCTGTTCCTGATTGACACACCTGCTGGGTGTGAAAGGGTTGCCTCTCTAGCAGCCAGTGAGAGACACAGGCCATTTCTTTTTTTCCGTGCCTTTTACTTAGTTTGAGGCTTACCTAACCCCTTCACAGTTTAACTGGGAAGCTCTTAGCAGATTGGTGTTGTTCCTCATACAAACTGCTACACTAGCAAGGGGTGGGGCATGTTTTCACATAGCTGGAGAGGGAAGACTTAAACCTCCCAGTGGGAAATCTCAGAGCAGAGGAATCCAGGTTCAAATCCCCAGACGTCTATGAAGCTTCCTGCATGACTCTAGCCAGGCTTTCTCTCTTTCTCTCCCCAGCCCCCTCTCTCTTGGTCTGGAACCATGGCTCTAGGGAAATTTTTTTTCTCTATGGATCCTCTCCTTCCATGCCATTTTCCATCATCACCACCACTGTTATGTACTGGGCCAGCAGGGGGATACTGTAGATAGTTATGCAAATGAAGGATCGAAAGTGACGTTCAGTGATTGGATAGTTTGTATGCAAATGAAGGATCGGAAGTGACGTTCAGTGATTGGATAGTTTTAGAAAATGGCAACAGTTACATTGTTCTGGAGCTCTATATAAGCAGGCTGACTGAGCTCCTCAGTCAGTTCTGTTCCAGCTTACAAATAAAGAGCTGCTTTGGAAGAATCGCTGTGTCGTCTGATATGTTCACCCACAACTTAACACTGGTGACAAAGGTGGAATTGATGGACATCAGAGCACAGCCACATGCGGCCATCCTCTGAACGGTGCTGAATCACTGAGCGAAATCACTGAACAGAACCAATTCAGAGCTGACTGTTCTGGCTAGAGCACAGTGTTCCATCCATCGCCCTTCACTCCGGCATCGGAATCATGGCTTCACTTGTGCCTCTACCGCCGTTTGCGCCAGCCTCTGAACCATGGGACTCCTACCTCGCTCGGTTCGACTGCTACCTCCAAGCCAACGAGCTGTCAACAGTATCAAAGGAACAGAAGCGGGGCCTATTCCTCAGCCTCTGTGGGCCTGAGGTGTTTGAGACGGCCCAAGCATTGGTTGCGCCTGAAGCAGTCCAGGCAACACCATGGGACACGATCCAAGAGAAGCTCCGCAACCACTATGCACCAAAGTCGTCCAAGATTGCTGCCCGCCATGCGTTTTACCACCGGAACCAGGCAGAGGGGGAGTCAATCAACAACTACACCACCGCCCTCTGACAGGCTGCAATGCACTGCTAGTTCCGAGACTTAGACGATGCCCTGATGGATCGAATTGTCTGCGGGGTCCGGGACATCCATCTGCAATGGCGTCTCCTCGCCAAGCCAGACCTCACGCTGCAGAAAGCCATTGAGGAGGCTGTGGCCTCAGAAGCTGCCCAGGAGATCCGCAAGGCCAGCAGCCCGCGTCTTGCTAGGAAGCCAGTTCCAGTGCATCACGAAGAGGCCAGCAGTGATGAGGCATCCTCCAGTGAAGACGATGACGTACACTAGACAAAGCGGGAGCGCAGGAAGTTCCAACAGAAGTCCAAGGGCCAACCGGAATGTGCCAGCTGCGGAGGCAACCATTCCCGTGCCAAGTGTCAATTCAGAGACGCCATCTGTCGGACGTGTTCCGGAAGGGGCCACATCGCTAAGGTCTGCCGATTGGCTCCGTCTGACACCCCCCCTTCACCAACTCGCAAGTCCAAGTCTTCACTCCAGTCTGCCAAGGAAAGCTGTTTCGCTCTCACCAACTGCCGCTGCCCGTCTGGAACCACGATTGGCCAAACTGACTCGCCTACGCGACGTAAGCTGAACGTCACGGTGCTCATTGAAGGAGCTCCATGTGACATGGAGATCGACACCGGGTCTGCCCTGTCCATCGTGTCTTGGAGCACCATCAAAAGACTGGTACCCAGAGTGTCCAAAAGGCAACTCGACTCTCACCGCGTACACATGAGAGACTACCAGGGAAACAACATTCCCGTGGTAGGCGTTGGCCGGTTCCGGATTGCCTTCAAGGATTTTTCGGGCCTGCTCCGACTGGTGGTGGTCGAAGGTCAGCGGCCAAGCCTCCTAGGGCTAGACTGGTTTGATGCCCTCGGCCTGGAAGTCACCGGCATCAACTGCATCTCTAACGCAGAGACTGAGGGTCTGGTCAAAGACTTTGCCGAGGTTTTTGACGGCACTTTGGGGCAATATACAGGTACGCCCATCTCCTTTAGCCTTGATCCGCAAGTTGCCCCCATCAAGCTAAAGCCACACCGGGTTCCCTTTGCTCTCAAGGCTAAGGTGGACAAACAACTGGACAAGCTGATCGCCCAAGGAATTTTGGAGCCGGTTGACCACGCCAAGTGGGAAACCCCCATCGTCAAGCCGGACGGGTCGGTGAGAATCTGCGCTGACTACAAGTGCACGATCAACAAGGCACTTCAGCAGCACGCTTATCCGGTTCCTGTTGTCCAACACCTGCTGCATTCCTTGGGTGAGGGTAAGGTCTTTGCTAAGCTGAACCTTGCCCAAGCCTATCAACAACTGCCTGTCAATGATGCCACTGCTGAAGCCCAGACGATTGTCACCCACCGAGGGGCATTCCGTTGCCGCCGGTTGCAGTTCGGGGTGAGTGTGGCTCCTGGCATCTTCCAAAGCCTTATGGAGCGTCTCTTGCAAGGGCTTCCGGGCGTGGTACCGTATTTTGATGATGTCTTGGTGTCCACAGACTCACACCAGCAGCTGTTCGAGCACCTCTGCGCCGTGCTGACCAGGTTCCAGGAGGCCGGGCTCAAGGTAAAGAGGGAGAAGTGCCAGATCGCCATTCCACAGGTGGAGTTCCTGGGCTATTTATTGATGCCTCCGGCCTTCACCCAACCACATCCAAGATCTGCGCTATCCAGCAGGCCCCCATCCCGAAGAACAAGACGGACTGCTGAACTTTTATAACATGTTCCTGCCCCACAAAGCCACGGTGGCTGAGCCTCTTCACCGACTTCTCAGCACGAAGACACCTTGGTCCTGGGGTCATCGGGAGACGGCCGCCTTCAACGCTGTCAAGGCTCTCCTTTCATCGGACAGTGTGCTGGTA